GCAAGCTAGGTTAGGTTGCTGCAACATGCTAGGTTGGTTTCCCACTCGGATGCCCCGAGGCTGCCCCATTTTGGTTAGGTGCTGTTCGCCCCTTTCCCTCCCTGTTCCCGGCTCCAAACCATCTGCGGGTTTCAGGGTCGGGGCGGGGTTTAGTTGGGGCTGAGACTCGGGCGGTTTTCGGGGGCTGCCCCTTTCGGGTTGGGGGACGGAGGTTTTCAAGCCTGTTCCTCCTGCCAAGGCTTCTGGGTCTTACCAGCGGCCCTTTCTTGCTGCCTTTCCCATGGACTCTTCCTTTTCTTTAAGGGCGGAGGGCTTGGAGGACGGCTCTGCCCCGGGGCCTCTGTTGCGGGTTCCCAGGGCTGTGGGGGATGCCTGCTAGCAGTTCTGGGGCGGTTTGCCCCTGCTTGGGTTTTCTGTTTTTGGGCGGAGTTTTTCGCCCATCCAGTCTGCTTGCTTCCCACTTTTGCTTGCGTGTTTTCGTATCTTTAGCGTCAGTCACAGCCCTCTGTTCTGGCAGCCATTTTCGTCTGCCGGTTTCCCGGCGTGGCCACCAGGGCGGCGTTGCAGTTTGTTTACATGCGCCAGGGTGTTTGAGCGAGCTTCTTGGGTGAGTTTTCAACTTTTTTCAGACGTTTTATTCTCTTGTTGTCGTTTCTTTGCTTTTCTGGTGTTTTCTGCCCATTTCCTGTTCCTCTGGGAACAGGAAATGTTTGGGTGTTGATTTTACACCGGGTTCCCATTTTGTCTGTTTTGGGTCTGGGCCTTTGGGTTTGGGCTCAGTGTCCCGGGCTGTTATTCTTGCTCCCACACCTTGTCCCTCGGTTTTCGGTCTATTATGACCGTTTCCCTGGGGGGTTCTGGCTGGGGGCTGTGCTTTGCCTTTCTGTGGTGTTTCTCTGCCGGCAAATGTGGTGGTTTGGGCTCCCCCTGGTTCGATTCCGGGTTCCTTTGGGTTCTTTGGTTTCATTCCGGAGGTTTCTTCCTCTTGGGCCCCTTTGTGGGTTCAGGGGCTTTGTTTCCTCATGTATGACCCGGTTCTGCCTTCTGGAGTTCTGGGGTCTTCCTGGCTTGCAGACTGATCTTTTTGGGTCTTGGCACATGTTGTGGTCATGCTGAGACTTTGAGGTTTTGTTGTCGAGGTGGGCCTTTTGATGCAGTTTTGTGCCTTCTTTGACTGGCCGGCGTGGTGCTCTCTGCCCATTGGTTGTCGGCTTGTAATTTTCTTTTCAAGTGTATGTGTGTGTGTGTACACATGTACAGGTGTACACTGTGTGTGTGTGTGTGTGCGCACATGTGTATATGCATACACACACACTGCCTGTTGGGTCTTTGGTTCTTTTGATCCGGAGTCGTGCAACGGGTGTCGTATGTACATGCTTTTGTTCACCCAGGTCATATGTGGGTGCAGGCGGCTGCAGCATTGCATGCTAGGTTTAGGTTGCTGCAATGCTCTTGGTTGGTTGCAGCCCTGGATGCCCCGTGACTGCCCCGTTTTGGTTGTAGGGGGTCCGGACTTGGGAATGGGGGTCGCTTCGGCTCTGGTTCCTTCCGCTCCTCCTAGTCCTTCTCCATCTGTTATGCATACTTCCTTCCCTTGCTGCTAGCTCCAGATTGTAGGCGGGTTTTGGGGTTGGAGCAGGGTCTCGTTGGGTTGAGACTCGGGCGGTCTCGGGGTTTTTCCTCTTCCAGGGTGGCGGCAAAGGCGTTCGAGCCTGTTCCTCCAGCCGTGCCGTATGGGTCTGACCAGTGGGCTCCCATGCATAGTGTTTTGCATGGCTGTCCCGGCTTTTCCTTATGAGGCTGGGGCTTTGGGGGTACGGCTCGGCCCCGGGTCCTGCCATCGAGGTTCCCAGGGTTGGGGAGGAGTTGCCTGGGGGCCCTCGGCCCCGTTTTGCCCCGCTTGGGTCTTTGTACCATTAGTACGGGGCTTGCAGTTCCTCAGAGTGGGGAGTTTCCTTCCCCCTCTGCAGTCCTGTTGGTTTTGTGTATACCCCTCCCTGTGTTCGGTTTCATGTTCCTTGGAGTCCGTCGGTCACGTCATTCCTAGGGATGTTTCACTCCCTTTTCTTCATTCATTTCACGCTTTCGTCGTGATACTGTTCCCTTCGTATCGGGGTCCATGCCTGTACCTTGATCAGGGGTGTATGTTTTGTCCATGTGTGCCTCCGTGCATTTGTGCTTACTTGTCGTATCTTGAGGTTATCTTGAGATGATTTCGGGGCTTAGCGTCCCCGCGGCCCGGTCCTCGACCAGGCCTCCTTTTTGTTACAAACACCCCAAGGAAGCAGCCGGTAGCAGCTGTCTTAACTCCCAGGTACCTATTTACTGTTAGGTGAACAGGCGCATCAGGGTGAAAGAAACTTTTTGCCTATTTGTCTCCGACTCCACCAAGGTTTGAACCTGGAACCTCAGGACTACGAATCCGAAGCGTTGTCCACTCAGCTGTCGGGCGCCCCCTGACAACTGAGCTGTAACAAAAGTAGTGTACCTTTGTTACACAGAAGGAATGAAACATAAGACAGCAGTTCAGCAACAAAAAATACAATTACTGGTGTCTCTTGTGTATTTGCGACCTCCCACTACACACTTTGTGGTTGGTCGTGTACATTGCGTTCCTGGCTGCTACTTGGTCCGTATTCGGGTTTGTTTCTTGTTTGTTTTTGTTTTATTCCTCCGAAGCTACACACATGGCTGTGCTTCTGTGTTGGTGCTTCTTGGCTATACTGTTTTTGGGTGCTGAGGTGGGCCTCTGTCCATTTTCAGTTTTATGCTTTTGGACTGCCCCAGTGCTCGGTTTTGGTACAGAGTTCTTTCACTTTTTCTTTGTGCCTCACTGCAGGCTTCTGCGTTGCATTGTCTGTGGGGGGGTTGTGGCCTTCCGGTCCACTGCTCCTGCCCTCTGGTTCCCTTTTTGGGACAGGTACCTGGGATTCCGATCCTGGCTCCGGCTTTTCCTTGTTCCTTTTCCGAGCTGTATGTTTTTGTTTTCCTGCGGTTCACGTCCTGCGTAGTTCTCCTCAGGTATCCCTTGGAGACGCGTGCATCGTTCTTCCCTGCTGGAGCTAGTTGCTCTGCTCCTTTGGGTTGCGGGGTCGCTGTTTTTCGCTTCGCGTCTCGCGCTTTTCTTCGTGATGCCCGCTTTCCTCGTTGGCCTCTGCCTGGGCCCTGGCTCTTCAGTGTTTGGCCTTTTTGGTCCTTCAGGGGTCCTGGGAAGGGGTCCTCCCAGACAGGGCATTTTTGCTTGCTCGGGCTGGTTTCTTTTGGCTCGCTGGGGTTGGGTTCCTGGTTCCCTGGTGGTCATTTCTTTTGGTTTTTGCCTTCCTTGGCGGGCCCTGCTGCTTTCTTCAGTTTCGATCCTGTGGGTCTTCCCGCAATTCTGCCTCTTTTTGCGGGTCGGTCCCGTCCTGTACAGTGCTGGTTCGTTCCTCTCCTCGAGTCTTCACGTCTCGGGTTTTTGTCTCTTGTTTCTCGTCGCTTGTGTGGGGACTGGTGGCTTCCTTGTTAGTCTCCCACCTGCGTGCTTCGTCTCGGCGGCGGTGTGTGTTTCCTGGCGGTCCTTCTAGTTTTCCTATCACTGTGAAGGATCCTTCGGTCTCTGATAGGGTTGTCTTGTCTTTCCCTTCGAGGTTGTTCTGGGACCGTCTTCTGGTACCGTGTACTGTCGCCTCGTCTTGGGTGGCACTGGCGGAACTGCTCTAGCTTGCGTTCAGTGTTGCTGTTCCTTCTGCTTCATTCCGCTTGTTGTCTTGGGGGTTGTTTCACCTCTGGCCTGCACTTGCGTTCCTGTGCCATTCTGGTCATTGGCCCAGGTGGTCTATTTTCTTCTCCTCCGTTTGGTCCTTGGGTTACTGCTTGGTTGGTCAGGCCGGGGGTGCTTCCTTGCTGTTCGGATGCAGCTCTTCGCTGTTCTCGGCGTGTCGTGGCATCTGGGGTCATGGATGCGTTTTGGTTTGCCCGGGTTACCTTCCTTCTCTCAATCCTGTTATGAGTTCGGGTCTCCCGGGTTGTCTGCAGGATCTTTTCGTTTCGTTTGTAGTCTTGTTTTTAGGTTGGGGTGCGTGGCGTCTGCTTCCCGGATCCTTCCCTCTTTTACTTATCTGTGGTGAGGTAGCTCCAGGGAGCCTACAGGGCTCACCCCAGAAAACCAGCGTTGAATGTAATAAAACGCCATTTCTCCGGTCACGGTGTTTTTCGCGTATTTTGACATCCAGCCTAAGAACTGCCAGTTGGATTGCCGGTGCGGATGGTCTGGGCTCCCCTTTCCCCTTCCTGGGGAGGATGGGGGGTTGCACAGACGGCGGCACGGCGACGTAATCGTCATGCTAGTTTGATAATTTTGTTTGGGGAGTTTTGTCCACTCGTTCGGCTTTTGGTAGCAATATTTTAACCAGAATAGGGGGTTTGTTTTGGGGCACCTACCTTTCTGGGTGCCTATCCCGGTCGATGGCAGATATAGAATGCTCCCAACCACGGGGTTTCTATAGACCATTGCTCCTCGTGCCTCTCTGAGGGGGCCAGGTTCTGGCTCATGGTCCCCGGTAGGCAAAAAATCCAAGCAATTTGATGGTAGAAAGTTATACATATCCATTCAACCTAGATAGTTCCGGGGAGCCTCCGGGACTCGCCCAGAAAATGGTGTTTCATTACATTCACCGCTGGTTTTTTGTCACCTGTTAGGGCAAATTGGGGGTAGCCAGTACATTCTTGGCATTTAGGCAGACATGGATTTGTTGATTGTGCTAGTTGTGGGTTTCTACATATATATATATATGCAAACATAGTTAATACATACATGATTTCCCTTCCCATTAAAGTTGGAAGCAGTATTGTGAGGATGTATGTACATCTGTTTTTGGTATAGTTTTGAAATTTTATTTATGGGTTGGCAGGTTAGAATGCTTCTACCAATCTAGACTGGGTTACCTGTCCATCTCTGATAGCTGGGTGGTCAGATGGGAGCAAATGGCAAAATGAGTAATGAGATGTTCTACCATAACCAGATGAGTGGGCAGTATGCTATGAGCCAGCCACAACCACCACAATATCCTGGCCAACAGATGATGGGCCCAGGCACTGTGATGCGACATGTGACTCCAGCAGGGGATCAGATGGTCGATCAGACTGGCCAGATGATGTCTCGTCCACCACCGCCTGAATATCGGCAAATTACGCTAAAGCAGCAGCAGCAGCAGCAACAGATGATGGGTGAACCTATGCCTCAGCCAATGTCCCAGATGGGTCAAAATATGGGTCAGATGAGCTACCAAGGCATGCGAAAAAATACGAGACCCCGTATGGTTAGTTGCCCTAAGGTCAATATGGGGACAAGTCAAATGATGGGTAGTATGACACGGCAAACATTACCCCCTAATAGGCCCACCATGAAGCCTGGTATGGTACCAACATCAACCATGAATCCCACATCTAGTATTGCAAGTAGTACCATTACTTGGGCTTCCATGCCTACCTTGAGTGTGGAGACTATATCAGCTGTGAACATGAGTCTAGATCAGGTCAGCACAGCAGGTACCATGGGTATGGTTAGTCGCACACCCATGGCCACTGGTCGCATGTTACAAAGACCTCGACCACCTAATGTTAACATTGGTCCAGGAGCTGGTGTACCTAATATTGAAGCACAAATGCCTCCTTCAAGACCTGAATGGCGCCAAATTATGATGCAGGGCAGCCAGGGTACCATGATTGGACCAATGAGGCCAGGATATCCTCAGCAACAACCACAACAAGGTTAGTACACCTACACTATAATGATTTATTGAGTTTTTCTGCTGTGATTTATGAATATTTTTCTTAGTCTGTGTAGGTTTCATATTGAATAATTTAATATAAACTACACTATATATATAATTGGTAGCATATAATAGATAATGCTATTTGGTCATTGGTATTGTACTGTGAAATTTTAATTGAATTATATTTGTATTTATATAATTGTAATGTAAGCTCTGTGGGGATTATAACTGAGTAGTGATTGTACCTTCATATAAATATAAATGATTGTAGTAAGTGTAAGAACTATAAGAGGCTATATATATGAGTTGCGTCAGCCAGAAAAATGATAGGATGGATTACGAGAACTTTCAAATCCAGGGATCCCATCACAATGGTTGTACTCAAGTTACTTGTGTTGTCCCATCTTGAGTACGGCTCAGTACTCACTTCCCCCTTCAGAGCAGGAGAGATTGCTAAAATAGAGGGAATACAGAGAACATATACGGCACGCATAGACGCGATAAAGCACCTAAATTAGTGGAATCGTCTCAAAACTCTCCAAATGGTACTCCTAAAAAGGAAACATGAGAAATAACAAATAATATACACGTGGAAGATACTGGAGGGCCAGGTCTCAGATCTACACAGTAAAATAACAACGTACTAGAGTGAACGATATGGAAGAAAATGCAGAATAGAACCAGTGTAGAGCAGAGGTGCCATAGGCACAATCAGAGAACACTGTATAAACATCAGAGGTCCACGGTTGTTCAACATCCTCCCAGCGAGCATAAGAAATATTGCTGGAACAACCGTGGACATCTTCAAGAGAAAACTAGATCATTTTCTCCAAGGAGTACTGGACCAACCGGGCTGTGGTGGATATGTGGGCCTGTGGGTCGCTCCAAGCAACAGCCTAGTGGACAAAACTCTCACAAGTCAAGCCTGGCCTTGGGCTGGGCTTGAGAAGTAGAACAAATCCCAGAACCCCATCAAGCAGGGGGACCTGATGTGGTGGTTCCCGGGGCGAGGGAGGGGCTGACTTGATGGGCCTTGGGCCCCGTCGGACCCCGCCTGGGTTTTTCTACCCTCTGAGTAGGGCTTACTGTTACAAGGAGTGGGGTTACCCCTCCCCTTCTGTGTATGAATTAGATTTGGTGTCTGCCCTTCCCCAGGTTCAGTTCCGTGTCCCTTCGGGTGCTTTGGTCCCATCTTTCCGGAGGTTTTCGCCCTTTTGCATCCCACATCCCACCTCCTATGGTGCGGAAGGCCTTTGCAGCTTACCTCCTGCATGACCCAGATTACGCCTCTTTTATGGATCCGTCTACATTCAGGTTTGGGTCTTCGTTTCACTACTGGATTCATTACAAGGTTCCAGAGTCGTTCTGGCTGGCAGACTGTCCTGTTTTTTTTTGGAGGCGAAGCATACGTTCTGTTGTTTCTGAATGCTTGAGTGGCGTGAGTCATTGACGGTGGTCCAGGTTTTCCTGGGGGCGAGTTTGAGCACCTCTATGAGTGCTTGTTCGCTCCTGTCCTTCCTCGGGATGTGGGTGTCATGCAGCTTCACATACAGATTCCCTCCCTTTTGGCTGCACTGGTTACTGAGGATTTGCGTGCTCGTGGCCTGCTGGCTTCAGCTTTGCATTTCTTTTCCCTCCTGGAGCTGTCTGCCAACTGGCTTGAGGAGGATGTGGAGGCGCTTGGGGCCGTTCCTGTGTCTAGCGCCTTGGGGCTCGGTGACGTGTTCGTCATCAGCCTTGTTGAAACTATTTTGCGCCGCTCCTGCGGGATGCGGTATCACTGTTTTATGCCTCCCTGCCTGTGTGTCGGCAGGTGGTGCTTGCTTCCTCCTTGGAATCTGATTGGTCCCTGGCTCTTTGAATGTCTCCGCCTTTTTGTCCCTTGCTGTTTGCTGATTCTGCGGTGGCGCAGTATCTGCAGGCGGCTTCAGCTAGCTGTCATCCGATGTCCGATTTGCTGGTTCTCTGAGGGTCCCCGGAGTAGGAGATTTCCCGGAGAGGTCGTGCCAGGGCTCGGGGTTTCGCTCATCGTGGTAGGCCACTGGTGCCAGTTTTGGGGCCGGTGTCGTCTTCGTCTGGTCGGCGCAGTGTTCGTTCTGTGCGGAGCTTGGGCTCTTGTAAGGGATGTCGGCCCTTTTGCGGTTCGTCCCATTAACGGGGTGATGGGGGGAAGGCTTGCTCTGTTCGCTCACGCCTGGTCCTATGATTTGAGGGCTTTTCGGGTCGTTTCCGACGGCCTGCGGTGGTGTTGGGTAGCCATGACTCCTTTGGGGAGTTCGGGGCTCACGGGATAGGCCTCTTCTCCTGCGCTCTGTCGGGTTTGTTTTGGAGTAGGTGTGCTTGGGTGCGGTCGAAAAGACGATGTCTCTCAGATGGGTTTCCCATCTGTTCCCAGTTCAGAAACGGGACTGTGCGGACCTGCGGTACATTCTAGACTTGTCTTGTCCGAAATCCTGGGTTTATTACCCCTCCTTTCGGATGACTACTGTCCCAGGTCCGGCTTCTGTTGGAGCCAGGCACTTGGATGGTGTCCCTGAACCCCCAGAATGCGTATTGGCACGTCCTGATTCATCCGGGGTGAATCTGGGATTGGCTCGGTTTTGTTGTGGGGCATCAAAGTTACCACTTGTCTCCCATTTGGGTTGAACCTGGCACCTCGCATTTTCACATGCCTTACTCAGGTCGTGGTGGCCTATCTGCATCTCTTAGATGTTTAGGTGTTGGCCTACCTCGACGACTGGCTGGTCTGGGCTCCCAGCCAGTCCGCTTGTCTGCTCGCAAGGAATTTGGTTCTTTTTCAGCTCGCCGGGGTCAGGTTCTTGGTGAACTGGAGGAAGTCCCATTTGGTTCCCTCCCAGGTTCGGACTTGGCTGGGTTTTGTTTGGGGCACTCGGACCACTTCCTTGTCTTTCCCTCCGGAGTCTCTCCCTCGGCTGCAGTCCCGCCTTTGCCTGTTTCTGGGGGGTATTCCAGGTAACTCGGCGGGTACTCATGGGTTTGTGTGGGAGCCTGAACTTTGCGATGATGGTCTACCTGCCGGGTCGGGTTTGGCTTCATCGGCTGTTCTGTTTTTTTTTTTTTGGTGCCATCCCTTCCACCTCTCTCGCAATTGCTGGGTTTGTCCACCAGGGGCCTTGTGTCAGTTGCTGTATCACCGACTTCCTTTTCAGGTTTTTCAGGGTTCATTGCCTTGGCGCCAACCCGTGCCCTCGCTCGGTGTGTTCACGGACACGTCGTCTCTGGGCTGGGATTTTGTGACCAGTGCTCTCCAGCCGTCGGGGTCGATGCCTTTCAGCAGAACTGGTTGAGGTGGGGGTACCTGTACCTATTTTCCCTGGTTCAGCTGTTGCTTCAGGTCCTGGCTCGCTTGGAGACTTGCTAGGGAATAGTAGTCCTCTTGGTCCCTTGGTGCTCGGCCCAGCCTTGGTTTCAGGCGCTGCTTGCTCGGTGTCTAAACCCGGAGGTTTTCCCCCGGCTCCACCTCTTTTAGCGGATCGGTCCGGTCCGTCACATGGCTGGTTCGATCTTCTCCTCGAGTCTTCACATTTTCGTCTTTTGACTCGGGGTCTACCACCATCTGTAGGGTGCTCAGGTTGGCATCCTTGAATGGTGTCTCACCTGTGGGCCTTCGTCTTGGCTGCAGAATGAAGTATCCTTGCAGTCCTTTAATTTCTTTCTCTCGCTTCATAGGTATCCACTCGATTTAATGGCCTATATGGGGCTGTATCCAGCTCGTTAAATTCGGGGCGCCAGTATTTCCGAAGTTGTTAAGTGTTGGTAATATTTAAAGTAGCATTCAAGTAAGATATATTTTGTACAGACAGCCACTTGGTCCAGTACTCTAGTGCCTTCTACCCTGTGACGTCACAGATTCACGGCATATTGTTTTGATTTGTCATGAGGCTGGAATGTTTATTCTGTGACTTTGTTGGACATATCTGCTCAATCAAGGAACATCTGTGCACCATGTTGGCTCCAAATGCACTCATTGTGTTAGTGATGGCTGACTGGTGGGTGGATGGGCAGGCAAAGTGGGCAGGCGGACAGGGAGGAAGAGGCTCGGAAGTAGGCAGGGAGGGAGAGGCTGAAATGTAGTAAGGCAGGAAAGTAGGCAGGCAGGCAGAGGCTGGGAGGTAGGCAAGGAGGGGGGAGAGGATGGGGAGGTATGGGGGATTGAGGGAGGGATGGATGGTTGGATGGATTGGATGGATGGATGGAGGGATGGAGGGAGGGAGGTAGGGAGGGAGGTTGGAGGGAGGGAGGGAGGGTGGAGGGAGGGAGGGAGGGATGAATGGAGGGAGGGAGGGAGGGAGGGGTTGGATGGATTGGAGGAGGAGGGAGGGAGGGAGGAGGGAGTGGAGGGAGGGAGGGAGGGAGGAGGGATGGATGGAGGGAGGGAGGGAGGGAGGGATGGATGGATGGATGGATGGATGGAGTGGATGGATGGATGGAGGGATGGATGGATGGATGGATGGATATAGGGAGGGAGGGATGGATGGAGAGAGGGAGGGAGGGAGGGGGGGGATGGAGAGAGAGATAGATTGAGGGATGGATGGAGGGATGGAATGTTAGGGATGGAGGGATGGATAGGATTGGGGGAGGGATGGAGGGAGGGAGGATAGGGGGAGGGAGATATGAAGGAGGGGGAGGGGGGGAGGGAGGAGGAGGAAAAAAAAGGGAGGGAGGGAGGGAGGGGGAGGAGAGGAGGATAGATTGAGGAAAGGGGGAGGATGGAGGGGAGAAGGGAGGGGGGGAGGGAGGAAGGGGAGGGAGGGAGGATGGAGGGGGGCGGAGGGAAAGGGGAGTGGAGGGGTGATGAGTTGAACTACGTGACAAGTGAAGCAAAGAGTGTATTCACCTAGTTGTGCTTACGGGGGTTGACCTCTGCTCTTTCGGCCCGCCTCTTAACTGTCAATCAATCAACAGAGTGTGTATGGGATGTAGAGGGAGTGGGGGAGGTGTGTCAGTGGTGGGGAAGGAAGGCTCACTCCGATAAGCCT